CACTTGGTGGCACACCAGTATCAGCCTTGGCAGGATAAATCTCCCCAGACTTATCCAATGGCTGTGAACATTTAAAACTAACACGAGTCTCTATTAGTGTCCAGTTTTAKKGTSTTAYACAGAATTATACCAAACAACATGAATCAAACATGCACTTTATTTATTTACACTAAATATCAAAAGTACATCAAATCGGATTGAAGTTAAGGGCATACAAAACTTTCTAACACTCTACTTGCACTACAATGGGTTAAATTAGTGGTGCTTTCCTCCCTTCAAAAGGTTGGGTTTTCACTGTGCCTGATATCTTCAAACTCTATTTCACTTCTTCTCCCAAGCTAGTCCAACCCCTTATTGTTTCCTTTGTCAAAATGATCATCCGCTTTCACCAAACTTCTTTAGGTATATTTACCCAAGTTTTGAGTTTACTCAGGTGTACATCTAAATATAGGTTTTCAGCTTCCTCACTTGGTGTTATTTCTTTACATGGGTTCACCGTCACCCTCTCTAGTTTTTCTAGAAAACTTTCTTTGTTGGGAACATTTTCTTTGCCTTCTATTCTTTTCATGGCTGTCAAAGAGAATTCTTGAGTGGCTTGTATTACCATATTCCAACCCGAAGCCTTTTTTCCTTCAAGGAAGCAGGTAAATTGTTTTAACCCTTCACCATAATGCTCGTAAATGCCAATATACCTTCCCTTTCTATTTTCTTTCCTTTCTACAATATACTTCCTACCAACTTCAGTGTGGTATTTTTTCTAGTCTTTTCCTGGTGTCATGTTCTTGGCCCCTTCCTGTACTCCTCTCAGCCACCAAATTGATCTGCCTGCAAGAATGAGGGAAGCTCTTCTCAGTTCTACTATCTTTAGGGCCAGGTCTCCCCTCATCCAAACCTCCTCCATCACAAACATCTTTGCTTCTATCTTCAAAATCTTCCTTCATCTTCTTGCTGGGGAGAACACCTCCATCTTCGCATACACTTGGTCTGATTTCAACATCAATTCCTTTCTTACTTTAGAAAGAAATTTTGGTGGAGGATTTTTGGTTCCATCAACAAAACCCATAATACCATGGGCTTGAAAAATAGGTAAAAATTGAGCTTTCCAGACCATATAATTAGGTCCAAATAATTTGATTGGGGTACAATTGAATCCAGCTTTAATTAAATAGTTTGTCCTCAAGCTTGGTTAGGCTCGATTTGAGTTCAATTCAAATTGAGTTTAAATTTTTGGGGTAAGCTTGATAGTTATTTGAACTTGATCTTGACCAATAAAATTTTGGCTTAAAAGCTCGTGAGCCCAGTTTGATTAATATGTGTATGTTTGTGTGTGTATTATGAAAATATTTATATGTAAAATACATTTTCATATTTTATATATAATAGAAGAATATACTATAATTATAAAAGTATAAAAATATATTCATTTTCAATCTCATTGGATATTTTATTGAATTATATAAGCTCAAACTGGAAAATAGAGTTCGAATAGAACTCGAATTTGAGTTTGAACCTAGCAGTATTTTAGTCGAGTCAAGTTATTACATGCCAATGTTCGACTTGACTTAGTTCAATTAAACCCCTAGCAATGCCAATTAGGACACTATTTCGTTTGGTTTGCTTGGGTCGATGTTGGGTAGTGAATAATACATTTCGACAATCGTCAATATCCATTTGCCATGCTTGTTCTTCGGTTGCCTGTGATACAACAAGCTCTATACTTAATTGACTAATGAAAATGTTAAATCCACCTTTCATACATATATACATACATACATTCAATTAGTTTATTCTTGGCTCGCTTTGCTTTCTTTACACATATACATACATACATACATGCATATATATATATATATATATATATAGGTAACTAAATTGAATAGGATCAGATTTCAGATTTCCATATCCTTAGTCAATTCAAATTCTAATTAACTTTTATAAAATCTATTAAATTATCAAATCGGATCAAATATAATATTTATATTATCAAATCGGATTTCGAATGTACCTGATTTGATCCGATGATTCATTCACATTAACACCCCACAGAGCAGGACTTACAGGCACCCACCACGCACACCTTAGCGTGAATTGGGAACATCTCCCGTAATTGTCATTGGGAGGTGTTCCCAATACACAGTTGGGATGTGGTATGGGGTGCCTATGGGCTGCATATGCGAATCCTACCTGGACAACGGACACGTTTGAATGCCTTCTTCCCCTGACTGAGATCATATCTGTGTCCCACAGAGGGTGCCCCATAAATGCCCCACATGCACATCTTAGCATGCACTCGGAACATCTCGCAAAATGGTCAATGGGAGATGTTCCCAATACACGATTAGGATATGCAGTGCGGCATTTGTGGGGTGCATATGTGAATTCAAACTTGGGTATTACATCCTAAATTTGAGCTGCCCTCATTAGTGACAGTATGTCATACTTACAAACATGATATGCTAGTTAATGGGCAGTACTATTTAGATTTTTATTTGCTTGCTTATCTAAAAAAATAAAAAATAAAAAGATTCTTTGAGATAAGATCTTTTCTACCATTCTCCGGTAATAGAGTCTTTTTTGGATTTTGAGTCAGTAAGAACAACTATCAGTAGGGGTCCATAGCTCAGTGGTAGAGCATTTGACTGCAGATCAAGAGGTCACCGGTTCGAACCTGGTTGGGCCCTTTGTGTTTTGTCAAATGTGATATATTTTGCAAAGGTGCCACACAGAAATCGATCTATATAATATATAGATCTGTTGCCACCCCTTTCAGGACTTCTGAAAACTGAGTCAACAAGTAAAATCAAACCACCTACAACTTACATTGGACTCGAAAAATGAAAATAAAAATGTATTATTGGTCTATATTCTTCTTGGTTGTTGCGTAAAAACTTTCTGAGTTCCTTCATGCGTTTTCTTTTCATTCCTGTTCACATCACGCCTTTACAACGACGGTCGAGAGACGCTTGACGTCCTTAATAATACAGGACGGCGAAGAGTTCTCTTCAGTGTTTCCAGAATCAAATGGTGAGTTTTTCTCAAGCCTAGCATTTCAGTTTTCTTTTCCTTTTCTTCTGCGAGTCTTGCACGTACAGTTTGATTTTATAATTTTGTTACGATGACTGGAGTTCCGGCGGGGGCCATTTGGCGGAGAAGGTGGTTTCAAGTGGGATTACTTTCCTCCCATTGATGGAGGGCATTACAAAAGTCATTTTACGTTAAGACGATGAGGTGATCCGTTCCATCAAATTCGGAAGCATCAATCCTGCAAGAGCGTTCTGCGACGAAGTGGAGAAGAAAGATGAGGTGATTAATTAAGTGGTTTTCAATTTAATTAGTGGATGGATTGATTTTTTGTTTTGATCAGTGTTTTTCCAAGTTAATTTTCTGTTAATTTATCTTCTACACTCTTACTTGAATTGATAATCAACTTCTGTTCATATTCACTTGTTGCAGTTTACTTTTAATTGGCCTGACGAGTATCTGACGTCCATTAGTTGGACGTGTGACACTACAGAAAGATGGGGCATCCCTCTCGTAACATCTCTAAAGTTCGAAACAAACGCCCGGAATATAAATTAAGTTTCTATTTAATTTTAGTTTATTATAAAAGTATATAAAAAATTATAAAAATTTTTATATAACTTTCAAGTTGAACTTACGAGAGTTTCTTAGCTTGAAAATTGCCCAACCCGCATTATGTGTGAATTTAGTGCAGATTTAAACTAGAACTTTAAAAAAAATAATTGTTTGAACCCAAAAATTGTAAATGTGACTGAGTTGGACCAAGTTATAAATTACCTTCCCTAACTCAGAATACTAATACATTTATAAATGGGCCATTATTGAGATTTATTATTTTGAATATTTTTTTATAATTTTTATATAAAATGCAACTTGGGCGGGTACAATCCGAATCTCTTCCTTCTCTTCTGTAACTCTTCCACTGTTGGTCATAATTTTGTTACGGTCACAGTGGATCATCCAACTGGGACCATTTGGTGGAGATGGTGATACTCGAGGGACTAGCTTCCACCCAGGAATCGTGGGATCACAAGGATCATCATCTGTTACGACGGTGACGTGATCCGTTCCGTCAAATTTGGAAGCGTCGGTGCAGACAGACGGCGATATATATACTCATCTGCGTTCGGCGGTAAAGTGGGGCAAAAGGACGAGGTAATTTTGGCAAGTTTTCCGGCATCTTTTCGGTTTTCATTTCATTGGGCTTTTTAAGTGATTTAATAAAGAGAATGACAAGTTTTACTTGAACCCCTGTTTTTCAGGTGGATATGATTGGCATCTCGATCGATAGTTTATACTGTTTTTTCTTTGTTTAATAAATGAAATTTGGAGCCAGCGATAATTGAAATTTTATATATACTATTCAATTGATATAAACTGGTCGAATTGAAATCTGAAATCCGACAAAGGGATACATACGTTTTGCAGGTCAAAGAGATATTCGATTGCAGATCACCGAGCTCCTACTTTCCCCATCCTCAAATAAACTGGAAACCGAACAACCTTCTCGCTTCTCCCATCATCTCCCCAAGCCCTCTTGAAGTCCTCGATCACATCTTCTCTCAAAAGCTCCACTCCTGCCTTCCGAGCTGTTTGGTATGCCGACCATGATCTTATGTACGTCAAGTAAATATCCAAATTCATTGATTGATTTGATTCGAATTTGAAGGGGCCAGTGTGATCGGTTCCCTCTACCGGCTCGAACGGAAAATGGATGCTCTGGTACTTATCGTCGACAAGTTTACGTGCGGGGGCCCAATAAGGACCGGACTCCCGGTAAACCCTCCAGAAGACATCGTCAACGGAGTCGCTAACTTCAGGCTCTATGTAACACCATACTGCAATCACTCCGTGGGGTCTTTTCAGTACCCAATTCACTTGTTGGTAGAAGTTCGGGAGATCAATCCAATGGAGTGCCTGGGCTACCGTCACAACATCAACGCTTGCTTGTCTTGCCACCTGTTGTTCGACTTCGTCTATGGACATGATGGGTAGAGTCTGTTGGTAACGAATGTTGGGTAACTTGGAAGCAAACGCTAGTTGCTCTTGGCTTGTGTCTGTGGCCACCACATTCTTGTAAATTCCGGCTAACTGCAAATAACAGTGTATCAGAGTTTACAGTGTGATCAGAGAGAGAGAGAGAGAGAGAGAGAGAGAGAGGACTCACAGATTTTGCAGACTGGCCGCTCCCGGTCCCGACGTCCCAAGCAAGGTTGTGAGACGGAGTCTTAGACGAAATGAATTGGAAAAGCTCAGGTGGGTAACTCGGTCGAGTCTCCGAGTATTGCTTAGCTTGAACGTTGAACAGATCTGCCATCTCTCTCTTGTTCGCTTGCTCTGGTTCATACAACCATGTTTCCGTTTTATATTGGCATTAACATTATCGGGCTGCGAGGAATCATTGCCTATGACAAAGAAGAGAAAATAAAATTGAACTCTGTAATAGAGCTTGACCACTAACTTGGACGGTGAATCGGAAAACATTATCGGGCTGCGAGGAATCATTGCCTATGACAAAGAAGAGAAAATAAAATTGAACTCTGTAATAGAGCTTGACCACTAACTTGGACGGTGAATCGGAACTCTGTTCAACTATCTTTGAACAAATGTTGTTAGAAGTTAGAACGTGGCCTTCGAGGAATCGTCGGTTTTGGATTACGTCAGGGTTGATTCAAGAAATTGGATTACGTCAGGGATGATTCAAGAAACGTTAATTGAAGCCTCCATGCCGTGTTTCGCAAGACTGATTCTGTGAATCATTTTTTAGCTACAATGGTCATGGATTGTAAGAAATAGGCTGCTGGGTACCAGACTGTCAGACACTATAGAAGAGTCTACTCAGAGCCCTTAACAGAACACTCTCAGGTGGACTTAAGCCATGTATAGTTTTACAACATCACACAGTACCCACACACGGACATACCACATTATCATATAAAATGGTTCTAGGTGCTGTTCCGGATCGGGTCCATGTATATCATGCTGGACCTATATATCAATGTTTTCGAACCGTTGTTGATTCAGAGGGTCAGACTGTTCAGATGGAAAATATCTATGTGACCGATTCTGTTTTATCCTAAACCCGGTTTTTGGTCAAAACCTTTGATCCGAACAGTTTGACCGCTTAACCGTTAGCCTTGGAGAGCGGTTTGCAGTTTATTACTTCTAATAAGTTAGACAAGAAAAAAAGAGATTAAAAACTCATATCTGAGATCTACTCAAGAGGGAGATCAGTTGAGAGATGTGTGAGACAGTAGAGAGATCTAGAAGAGCAGTCTAGACGATAAATCTATAAGAGAAGTGAGATCTGAGATTGAGAAAAATATCATATCTATTTTCATCGTCAATTCGCCGCCACCACCACCGTCGTTGTTGCCGCTGTAGTTCACCATCAGTGTCACCGTCATCATCGCCGCTGTAGCTTGCAAGTGAACTCCTCCTCCTCCTCCTCCTTTTCCTTCTTCTTCTTCTTCTTCTTCTTCTTCTCCTTTTTCTTCTCTCTCTCTCTCTCTCTCTCTCTCTTCTTCTAAACTCTCTCAGCTGCTAACAGCTTCTCAAATCTCTCTCACCTGTTAAAATATTTAAACTGTTCGAACCGTTTGACCTAGGCAATCAAACCGCTGACCTAGAAACCAGTGGCCAAAATGATTCCGTTTTCGGGGTCGGTTTTTAATAATTAAAATAAATAACTGAAAATGATTGGTAGAATAATCAAAAACAACAGAAATCAAATCTCTTATTAGCTTTCCTCAATGCCTTCATTTCATACAATACACATCTATTTCTGGAAGTGATGCTCCTGTTTAATCTCTTATTAGCAAGGACCCGTGTGATGTATGAGCTTTGTTAAGTGAAGGCGAAACAATAGAAATACACATGATTGTAATGTTTAAATTATATGATATATAATATATACAAAAAAAATCAATGTTACTAATGTAATAAAACAATATAATTCAATAATGCATTGTCCATGCAAATAAAAAATGTACTTTAAATTCTCCGCATTTTTTAGTAAATACTATTGTTCTTTTGAAGATTATTGATAATTAGTAATTATTTTCACATGGTACTTTTAATTTCACTAATAAATTCTGTAATTTGTTGATTAAGTATAAGAAATAGTAAAATAATTTGATAATTAATAGTTAATTATATACATTTTTGGAAATTTATCATCTTTTTTGGAAATGATGTTAATCCACTTTTGGGAATTTTCTTGGATAATTTCTAATGATGATTATGACAATTTTTGGTAATTTTCTGCTTGTTTCTAGTAATTTATGGTAGTGATTGTATTTTCTAGAGATATTGGTTATTTGCTTGTTTTTTTTTTCATTTCTACTAATTAATTACATTTTTTGGTTAATTACTGATAATAAGTACATATGTTCACAAAGTATCTTTAATTCCACTAATAAATTCTGTAATTTGTTGATATATAATTTTTTATTATGAATTTATTATTAAATAAGTATAAGAAATAGTAATAAAAATAATGTGATATTAAATGTTTATTTTTATTTATGTTGATTTTGGGTAACTTATCATATTTTTGGAAATAATATTAATTCAATTTTGGTAATCTTCTTGGATAATTTCTAGTAATTATGACATTTTTGGTAATTATTGGTAATATTCTGCTATTTCTATTAATTTCTAGTAATTACTATTATTTTTTATAATTATTGATAATTAGTACATATTTGTTGGTAAATTTTTATTATGAATTTATTATTGGTAATTAATTAAAATTAATTTTAACCGTAAATTATTAATAATATTTTAAGATTATAATATAATAGTTTTATTATTATTAAAAATGTCTATAATTAAAATACTAATAATTATTGTTATATATGATTAAAGAATAATAAAAATAATAATGATAATGATAAAAATAATAATGATAATGATATTATCATTATCATTATCATTATTATTATTATTATCTGTAATATAATTATTTTAATTTTTTGTAATTTTTTTGCTGCAAGGGGCTACACAACGGGAGGTAGCCCATCCCCCAAACCCATAACCCTCCCCCTCCAACCCAAGTGTATGTGGGGTTCAATCCCAAGATAATTATTTTAATTATCTGCAATTAAATATCTTATTATAAACTTAAACAATTATCAGATAATTATTTTGACTATTTGTAATTAAAATAATAATTATCTCTAATAAAAAATTTAAATAGAATATAGATACAAGTTATAATATAATTTAAGTTTATCAATAATTAAATTTATCTAGATAATTAAATTAATATTATCTAATTAATCAAAATAAAGTCAAATCTAAAGTTGTATACCGTTAAATTTATCTAAAGAATTATTTATAAGATTTTAAATGTCATCCAATCAAAATAGTAAATAATTAAGGTAAGAGAAAATACTATTTATTATTGTTATCTACAACACATTATTAAATTACCTAATATGGCTATATGGGTTTTATTATGGGCCCAGGTTGATCCTCGAGCAAATGCTTAAATGGGTCTAGAGAGACTGAAGTTCATATTCTTCTTTACCCGTGCATAGAAAAACGGGTCATGTTACAGGCTGGTGCAAGGATAAAAAACTCGGGCTATCTAAGGAGGTCAAACCTACCCCACTACTACAACACTATCGGAAACCGGCGTTTATGAAAGGAAAAAAAAACTTATAGAATAGGTGAAACTTAGATCTATGTTTTTTACAATTCAATAGAGGCTGATGTTCAATTATAAGTTAGTCAAACTCCTGCCTTTAAAAAAAAAAAACTAGTCAAACTACCAATTTACTGCAAGATTAACAATTCACGAATACATTGAATATTCAGTTCACAAACACAATAAATAAGGGTTAAGAGAACATATCTGGTGATGAGGGGTGATTTGGTCTTCTAATGATAGTATGACATGTGATAATATAGAATTATTTGTTAGGATCTTGGTATCACGCAAGCAGAACTTGGACACCTGGCATCTGTCTCAACCTCCTTGGCCCCACCTTGGCAGGATGACCTACAAACAACTCAGGAGATACTAGGTCTGCATGAAGAGGCGACTTGCCTCCACCGACCTAACCCAAAACCAGTTAGCAACCTGCCCGATGTGATGGGTAACTTCCTTCTTGAGTGGGTAATTGTCTCCAATTCCCATGAAATCATGATGACACATTGATGGAGATGATCTTGGTCACACTTGCTTTAAACAAGACCAGATAAGCCTTATCAGTTTACACGGAGTCTGCCTCCAGGCATAGAACCACCTCTAAGTCAGACGGGTTGGAGATCTCGAACGTGTTTTGTGGAGCTTACGACAGTTAACCTATATAAATGTGTCATCTTCCGTAGAAAAGGTACATGCGATTTAGCTGTCACAGCTCTTTAGCTCTCTAACTCTCATATAATCAAATATTGGTTCCTGACTTAAGCATCAAAGTGCCCACCCTGTGTCAAGCAACCCATACACTCTGATATGTTCTTATTGCAGTCCGACCAGGCGACCTCACCAGCCCGGACTGAGCTGTCTGCCAACAGGGAGCACTAGATTGTGCACAATCAATTGGCACTGTCAGTGGGAACTCGCTACACAAAAGCCTAGTTCTCACCTCTCTCAAATTCTAAACTCAATGGCATCTTGAAGCAACAACCCCGTCAACAATGCCAACAACAACGCACGTGTTAATGGAGTAGTCACATGGGGGCAGGATCAGCCCGCAATGCAACACTGTGGTCCCCTCTGTCACCATCAGGCAATTCACTATGCCCCTAACCACACTTGGCATCTTGACAACCTAAGGCTTGAACCTCCCACTGTCCATCATGAATGCGCCTCTCTTGTTGGGTGAGTCTTCTATGGTGTAGTACATCCATGGGATGGACCTATAGATGCAACACTGGGAAGGTCGCTTTGCAATGATAGCTGGGGTGTAGCCACAACTTGCACCTAGAATGCAAATCCAACATCAGCAACAACAGAACCAAGTTTCCGCCAACCATAACCTGGACCAGTAGATCGTCGACCAACACCAAAACCAGGAACAAATGTCGAAACATCCTCGCCACCATGGTGACCGCAATCAGGTGAGGACCTGCACTTTAGAATCTCGGGACCCAACCTATGTCACATAGGAGGAGACCAATCGAGCAACCTCTTCAGATGGAATCGAGACAACTGCTTCCATCAAGAGGTCCAAGAGGAGGCAACATAGATGATCATGTTGTGTGCTAGAAAGAGACGTTTTGCCCCAAAGGATGAGGAGCAGACAAACAAGGAGGAAGGGAAGAAGGAAGAGGCAAACCAAATCACCACCTCATCGGTATTACCTATAACACTCATCTCTCCACTGGCAGCTGAAATCTTGATGACCCC